CTCTCTCTCCCTGCCCGATGTCACTTCGATGATATCGAAATATCAGTTCTTTTCATTTCGTTTTCTTCTCTTCTTCTTTTCGATATTCGTGTGCATGCGTGTAATCATTACCTTACTACTTCTGAATTACTAGTATACATCTCATACCAGAAGCCTGATGGATATATCTTACCGTTTGTTGTTATCGTCCAATTCTTGTCTTGAGGAGATTCAATTTCCAGTGCACCGAAATCATAAGCATCACTCGAGCGAATAAGTGCAAAAGAAAAGAAAAAAAAGGAATCAAATGCGAAACTATTGTTTAAGAAAAAAGTATCGAGCGAAGTGAGCTGGAGAAGGAACGAGTAGATCCAGGAGGTAGAAAGAAAGAGAGATAAACGTCGAAAGGTAAGTGATGTAGATGCCAGTTGAACCACCCCTGTTGTCAAATCACATCTTGCAATGACAATCATCTGAAATGCCCCGTTTTTGGATGGATTTTTTCCTCTCTGACGAGAATGGAAAATGTATGTTATTAAAACTTGACAAACGCCATGAATGGAGAACTTTACCTTTTTCATTCACTCAAGACAGATTTCTTTGTTGTTGTTGTAGTGCGATTCTGCTTCTTTTTCTCTCTCTCCCTCTCGCTCGTCATAAGAGAATGGGATCAAATGTAGAAATTCTCATTTTTCGTATTCGCATTTCGATTTGTATGTGCTTCTGAAGAAGCGAACATGAGCCGCACATATCGATATGTGCTCTAGCGTTTTAGTTGCGGCTAGAGCTATTCTAAATTCAGATGCATATGTAATTACATATCATTGAATTTGAAATATTAGAAGAAATTTCCTGCGAAGCGATTTTTGCATGTCAATCTTGAAGGGACGAACGGTTCTGTGGACGTTTCTCATTACCACGAAGCGGAAAAGATGAATTACAACTTGAATGATTCAAACAAAAAAAACGACGGTTTTTTGTATTCTCCCTCTCTGTGATTATCGGTTGTTACGGTCTTTCTAGATCAGATTCTCATTAGAATTTCATTCAAGTTAATTAGGAAAATGAATTTGCAAATGTGGTTAAAGTGTTGGTTTTTGGCCAAAATCACAACGGACGCAACGGCAAAAACATTGAACCAACTTCAATTCTAAGTGAACAGCTATTTATTCTCAATACAAGCCCTCAATCATCTCTGTCCATTTTTATCTCTGTGAGCTTGGCACACAAAGTTTTGCCTCAGAAGAGGAACGAATTTCCACTTTTCGAAACGCGCTCCCGAAAAAACGGCACATGGAGCGAAAACAAAAGGCGAAGAAAGCAAAGCAATCAAATTAAAATCAAATCAGCAAAATCGCTTGCCGAGCCCAAGCTTCGAATCACAGCGACGTTGTTTCCATGAACGCAAGCAAGAAAAGTAGCCAAATAAAACTAATCTAATTTGGCATTCGTTGTGCGCTCGTTCGCATTTTCTTGGTATGTTCCATCGAAAAATTAAAGAGTGGAAAATCAAAGAGAATCATGTTTTGCCCGAGCACTGGGCGTTTCGAGCGATTCGGGTCCAGTTAAATACAAATTCATCAAGTATTTTCCACTGATAAAAGCATTCGACTCGCATTTCTTTTCTTTTCGTTAAATTTTCTTCTTCTTACGTGATCGAGATTTTTTTTTTATTCTGCTATTCGGTCGGCTTGTCCGTTTGCTGGGTCGAGCGAGTTTGTCGGTTGGTGTTGTTACTGCTAATGGATTATGTGAGTTTGGCATTCTGTGGCAATGCTTGCCATTTCCTATTTTAGCCATTTGTGTGTGTATGTCCAAATGAATTGCGTCAACACAAGCACCAGTGTGACTGATGCAAAACGTTTCGGATGGATTTTCTTCTGCTTCTTCTTTTCGGGTGGTAATGAGCGATTTTCGGTTCTCTTTCATTCGACTTTGAATTGCTCGAAGAGCATACTAATTGAAATGCGCTTGCAAAACGTCTACATGTATGCCTGCGTTCGACAATTTGAACCAAAGAATTTATTTCAGCTCACTCATTCGCTAGCTGGCTTGCTCGAATTTATTTTGTGGCGCGTTCATTGAAAATCACTCAAACACAAAAATTGTAATCGTAATTATTTTCGTTTCTCTCGTGCTGGTTATGCTGATGGTTTGGTTTTTGGGTGGTAACGGGCAATTCCTTGCTTTGATTTCCCAGGCGTTCTGCTTCGCAGCATCCACATAATAACGAATTCTGACATCGACAACATCACTCACCAGCTCGTGCTCTCTATCGCCCAGCCAAATGAACAAATGGAAACAATTTGATAAGTTTTTGCAACTTTTTCTCTGCTGACTTGCAATTTTCGATGAAGTTTCAGTTCCGTTAATGCTGATATGTTGGTATTTTTATTGACAGCCGCACCAACCGAAAATCCGAATCTCTCTCCCGCTCTATAGATGATGTATCTATTGAAAAACAGATGCGCTGATGCGATATTTAACCAATTTCCAATGGAGATGAGTTTTCTCAGAGAGAAAATACGACCGCCTAATTAAATTCACCGACACTGCATAAAAGTATTGAATGTAAATGGCGAACGAACGAGCAGCAGCAGTAATCAAGACTCATGAGAAAATTAATAGATCAACCAAAGAACAGTTTTACACAGGTACCGTTTTGTAATCAACCTCGATACGTATTCTTTAAAGAGCACACTGAACACACACACACACATGTATTATTCTGTATTATGGCTCATCTCTTTTACCTGTGTGTGCACTTCATGTCTTCAAATAAGGGCATTCCTGTTGGCAAATTTCCGAGAAATCTCAGATTAAATAAGAAACTTTTTTCCATCATACAGCGATGAGTTTTTTTTGCGTGCCTCTCTTGACGATCCCGAAAATTATGTAGGTACTGAGAAAACTATATACTGCGTAGTTGAGAATAGCTAAATAATGGAATGGAAGTAATCTGCAGCAGAAAAAAGAAGCAAAAGATTAAATATCAAATGTCTGATCGCGTATCAGTTTGGAATAGTGTTTTTTTTCTCTTAATTTCAACATACCCTCCAAAGACCTTTCATGCCATAGTTTCGTTTCAAGTGAGTAAAAACTTTATCTGAACATAAATCTAAGATGTGTGCTCATTTTGCTCATTTGCGTCATAACTTTTTTTTTCCGCTCGAGCCATATTTTTCTCTCTCTTTCTCTCTCGAAACTTAACCATTTCCTTCAAATTATTGACGCAGCCATTATTGTTATCATCAAAATATGAGCTCGAACTCCGTGGAGAATATGTTGAAAAATCCTCGATTTCATTCATGGAATTTGTGTGAGCGAACGTTGGATGCATCGATGCAATATGACATTTGATATCGAATATTGGATTTCACATTGTTTTTAAATGGAATTTACTTGACGCAGTCATCAAGACAATCGCCGTTGATATGACGCACAAGCTATTTGCTATTATTCCCGTCATCTCAAAGGATTTTCATTTCGACGAAACCGTTCGGTTTCCATTGTGGAGGTAGCGATAGTAAAAACAATAGATTTCGTTGAAGAAAACGAACGACATCTCACCAAAATCAAATAATGTCAAAATTTGGCCAAAAATTCATACAATAAACTGGACATTTTCTCAATGAATTCAACGTCGGTGATAGCATCTCTATATGTTTTCCCAAATGGAATGATTGTATTACATTTTTCATGGAATAGGTTTGTTTTGAGGGAGCGAAAATTCGCTGGAATTTCTTCTTTTTCGATAGAAGACCATTCGCAACAAAACCCAAGTGATACTAAAACACAGGCGTTAGGATAAAGCCCCTTCCGTCTCTTTCATGCTCATGATTTTTTTTTATCTAATTGTCAGCATACCGAAATATTATACCAAGAGTTTTGAGATAATGCTTGAAAATGTCATGCTGTGAACGCTTCAAAGAAAGTTTCGTGTTCAATTTACGCATATTAAATGGCGCTGTTGCAGAAGATATGATGAGGCGTTTTCTCGCCGCTTGAAAATAGTCATTTTGTGTTAAAATAGAGAAAAGAATGGAAATGCAAAGATTTACATTTACAACGATAAGACGGCTAACCGATAAACCACATCATCCGACCGTGGCTTTTTGCTGCGAAACAATATTAATTTTTTTTTGTATACCAGTTTGCTTTTGTCATTATTATTGCCTTATTTATTGTTATATGGGTTTTTCTTCATAGATTGATTCAAACTAATCATGGCGTGTAGAGTGAAACACTTTTTCTCTTACGCCCAAATTACATGCTTTACTTTCAAATTATGAATCGTTAGTGTTCCTCGTATTGATAGTGTAACTACACACGATGCACACGGCTTGCTCAAAAAAAACCGAGTTAAATGTAATGTATTGATGCAAAGCAAGTCAGAAATAATAATAAATCTTTTCTTTTGAAATTCGTAAAAAGTCGGTTGTTACTTAAATCGATTCAACTGATAAACAAAACTGATGGACTACATATTTGGTCGAGTGCCACTGATAACAACGTATTTTTAGAGAAACCAAAATGTTTTGGGTCAATTTCAATTTCTTAACTCGGTGATGTGACGTAAAAAAGAGCAGAATAAAATGACAATCCAGATTGCCATCATATTAAATGTCATTGCAATATTTCAAACATAATTTGAAAACATGGGGTTTCTCTTCAATATTTCACAGATTATAATTAATGATATTTGCTGAAAATGGTTGTAATTTTTGCAAATATATCATAAAGTACTCAGTAAATTGCGAATAATTCTTTCTCGGACTCACCCTGTCCCCAGACCGATCAACAATGTCGATTCGACACCCTCACATTATCGATCGTATTCCAGTTGGTAGTCGGGTATCGATCGGACTTGCATTTAGTAAATACTACGGTAAATTACCGTCATTTTATTTTGTTTGTATGTAATGCTGATAACGATCACTTGAACCGATATGAATTCCATTGTTTCAATGAAACGATAGCTATGAAAAGAAATTGATTGGCAAATACAATTAATTTTGCGTTATCAGTGTGTCTTTTGTCGCCATATAGAGCGAAGGTACTATTGAGATAGATCATTTGTGGTTAGCAAAATAGCAAAGAGTATCGATGTAACAAAAAAGTATCTAATTATTTCGAATACCTTAGCTTTGAAAAAAATAATTGGTCATTTTTATCCGAATTAAATCGACTAGTTGCCATGGTGATTTGTAGAATAAATTTCGAAAACAATTCCGACAAAGTTTACTATTCGGGAGAATTGATAAGCGGTAATGTTCGCCAGAAATTCGTTGTACGTGTGTTGTTTTGTAAATATTTTATGATATTTGATTGCAGGTACGGTGCGATTGGAATTGATGAATAGAAAAAAAGTGCGCGGTGTGTATATTGAATTCAGGGGAGATGCACATACAGAATGGTATGAAGATGTTGAAAAAGAAGAAGGTACTGGCGATGATCGTAAAACTGTAACAGTTCGTGAATGGTATCGAGGCCATGAAAATCATTTGAATTCCAAAATTTTTCTCTCAGGAGGGAGCTTTGGTACTATATATGAGATCAACATTATTTCAATTGATTATGCAATGTGAGTTGTTTAATATTCACAGGCGAAATGTTTCTGGATGATGTGAAAGAGCATGATTATAGCTTTGCGCTTCAATTGCCATCACACCTACCATCTTCATTCGAAGGAGAGTATGGCCACATAAGATACAGTGCAAGTGTCTTTCTTATTGTTGCACGCGGTTATGAGGAAAAATGTAAAGAATCATTCACCGTTATCAGAACACTTGATTTGAATCACTATCCATCGTTGCAAGTAATTTAATTTTCTACCTTGACACTGAACGAATTCCATTGAATGTTTTTTTTCTCTGTAATTTACAAAGAAACCAGTTTCTGCTGTCGAAAAATACACTTCTCATCCATGCTGTTTGCTGTGTTGCTGTCGATCGGATTCATTGCGTATAAATGCTCGAATACCGGTCGGAGGATTTGCACCAGGACAAATAATAAATTTGGCGCTTGAAGTAGACGGTTTAAGCAGTCAACGAGTTCTACAATTCAAGATGGAATTAATAAAAGTAAGCGATTTCGAGTTCGATTTTGAATTATTTCGAAGCCATCTTTTCATTATTATTGTAGCACATCGATTACTATGCTCAGGGTGAAACAAAGATAGAAAAATTACACCAAACGGGTGAAGAATTATCGCGTAGCGATGAAGTGAATAAAAAACAAACAATTCGTATGAATTTACAAATTCCACCATATCCACCGAGTGACGAAACGACTTGTGGCATCATCAAAATTAGATACTATATTCTCGTATGTGCATTGACTCTTTGATTCGATATTGAAGATCATTCGATTAATTTTACTTTTTTTGGTTATTTCAATGTATGTGCAGATAACCGCCCATATGGAACCACCAAAAATACATCTTCCGATCACAATTGGCACGAAACCAATAGATGATTTTGCAGCGTTGGACGTCCTGGATGAGCAAAATCCTTCTGATTCGAACCCATCTGCTCCTTTACCTCCTGCATCTGTAGTAACTACTCAACCAAGCGTTCAATCACCGGCTTAGCCTGTCCGAAGATTGCCGAAGTTGAAGTTCAAATTGTAATATATCCGCAGAATAAACCAAGTTTTATATGAAAAAGCAACAATTCGACTTCAAAGTTTTGTTTATTTAGATTAACTTATTCGTTCGATTGAACTATGTTACAATTTGGATGGTTTCTGATATTATTTGAAACTCCGAAATTGCTTAGTCGGCTTCAATCTTTTTTATTGAGTTTTTATCAATCGAAATTGAAGTATTTACCGTCATTCTCTTTGTGTCCGACATAGATAACGATTGCTTCACCTTATGATTTTTATTGTTCAATAACGATAAAGTTTGAAAATAAATTTAGTTTCGAATCGACACTGTCGATTGTAATCAATTCTACGTCATTAGTCTAGCTGATATCGTCAAACAGTGCGGAAACACTTTGAGCTCATCGAAACAGTCATAGCGTTTAGAATCATCAAAAATGTGCCTAATTATTACAAATATCGTTAGGCTCAAAATTTGAAGTTCAAATGTCACATTTCGACATTTTTACGCGAGTTATATCGCAAAATTACCATGGCGTTGTGTAGGATAGATTTCGAAAACAATCTGGACAAAGTTTATTATTCGGGACAATTGATACGCGGTAATGATCGCCTGGAATTCGTTGTATATTTCATGAGGATATTTTGTGATTTTTTTTTTTTCGCAGGAACAGTGCAGTTGGCATTTCCAAACAGAAAAAAGGTGCGTGGTGTGTATATAAAATTCAAAGGAGATGCACATACAGAGTGGTCTGAATATGTTCAAAGAAGCGTAGGTACTGGTGATGATCGTAGAACTGTATCTGAACGTGAGTGGTATGAAAGTCATGAAAAACACTTGAGATTTATAAAATATTTCGCAGGAGGAAACGATGGTACGAAGCGATATAACCATCTTTATCCAATTGATTACATCACAAATAATATGCAAAATGAGTTTTTCAAAATTTTGACAATTCACAGGCACAATTTATCTGGAAGCAGGGGAGCATGTTTTCAACTTTGAATTGCAATTGCCATTAGAGTTACCTTCGTCGTTTGAAGGTGAATATGGCCACATAAGATATAGTGCACGTGTCGTTCTGATTATTCCATGGGGATTTGACATTAAATTTAAGCAACCATTCACCGTGATCAGAGCACTTGATTTGAACTTATATACATCGCTGCGAGTAATTTATTTTTTATTCAAATATTACTTGTGACTATTGAATGTACTTTTTTCTATCTCTAGATGCCTGCTTATGCCGTCACACACTTCACTTCTTATCCATGTTCTCTGCTGTGTTGTTTTCCATCAGATCCAATGCGTATAATTGCACGCACACCAGTCTCTGGATATGCACCTGGACAGACCATTAATTTGGCGATCGAAGTGGACAACAAAAGCAATAAACGAGTTCCAAATTTCAAAGCGGAATTGATAAAAGTAAGCGATTTCGAGTTCGATTTTGAATGCATTCCTAACCCAGATATCTGTTGGCTATTCATTTATTTTAGCGTATCTGGTATTATGCGCAGGGTAAATCGCAGACGCAAAAGTTCTTTCAAACGGGCCAAGCCTCGTCACGTGGAGTTGAAGTGAACCAAAAACGAATAATTCGTATAAAATTACGAATCCCACCAAATCTACCGAGTGACGAAACAACTTCTGGCATTATCAATATTAGATATTATATTTTCGTATGTGCATTTACTCTTTGATTCGATATTGAAAATCTTTCAATAATTAAAATTTTTGATTTGTTTGCGGTGTAGTTATCTGCCCACATGGATACATGTTGTAGTGATCCAAAACTAAAGCTTCCGATCACAATTGGCACGACACCAATACAAGATTTTGAAGCATTAGACGTATTGGATGAGTCTAACCATTTCAATCTATATTCTACTGCTTCTATATCGTCTGCACCTGTGGTAACCTCCCAACTTGGCGTTCAGCCATCGGTTCCTCCGATGACAAGTGGAGCGAAAAATCACGATTTTGCATCGCGATATCGATATTATTAGGAATATTGAAATTTTTTGCTCTGATAAATAGCATTAATATGACATATATTTTTTATTCAAGATCCGCCAACCTACGTAGAATCTACAGATACAAATTGTTATCAATGTTGACGTGTGCAAAATGAATCACTTGTAATTCTTACTTACTGACTGTATGTTTTATTTTCAAATAATGATTCATTCATATTTCGCGGTTTGACATGGTGTATTACAACGATCGTTGTTTTCTTAAAAGACACGAATTCAAAGTGATATTTCATACGAAACACTTAAAGAAAAAAAAACGCTAATATTTACAGTTGTGGTGACGCCATAAATGATACCAAACACGATTCAACTGATAAACCAACATAGAATGAGTGTCACTGATGGTTATCATGCAAAGGGATAGACACTATTAGAAAACTAGTGAAACTAGTGAAATATTAGTAAAATTAGCAAAAAAATATGAAATATTAGAGGAAATACAGCTGCCCATTTGAAATATATTGGTTCAATGCATTTCAAATGGAGATTTTTACCTCCATAAGGAATGTATTGAAACAATGTAAATCAAATGGCAATTTTATTTTTGCTGATTTTTGAATATTTGTAAAAAATTCTTATGCGAGAGCGTTTCCCATAAGAGATATACAGCACCGTTCACTTCTTATGCACACACTACCGTTAATCTACAGCGGCGCTCTTCCATAAGTAATGTACAGTGCTGTGTATTCCTTATGGGCAACGCTCTCGCATAAGAATTACATAGGAACAATGTATTTCAGTTGTAGAATTTGTTTACAAACACTCAAAAATCACCAGAAATAAAATTGCCATTTGATTTACATTGTTTCAATACATTTCTTATGGAGGTATAAATTTTCTATTAATTGCATTAGACAGTGTGTTTCTTATGGAAAATAGTAAACTAGAAAAAATTTGCGAAATTAGCACGAAAATAGAATATTAGCATTGGTGTCCATCCCCTTGTTATCATGTTTGAAAAAATCGGAGTCGCTTTGTTGGTTCCAATCTTTTCGTTCAATGTTACGTATCGCCGATATGCACACAGAATAAAATGACTGTAAACATTCAAAACATGATTTGTGGAAATGGGGTTTCCGATCAACAAAGTAAAACAACGTTATAGTTCTAATAATTACTGAAAAGAGTTGTAATTCTTACAGTTATGGCTGGAAAACACATTTTTACCCATCATATTTAAAATATTTACCGTCATTTTATTTTGTGTGTATGTGATAACGAATACTTGACCTGATATGAATTCTGTTGTTTCATTGAAACGATAATTATATGAAATGAAATGAAATTGAGTGGCAAATGCAATCATTTTTGTGTTATCAGTGTGGCTGGTTCCGTCAAACAGTACGGAAACATTCTACTTTGAGCTCTTTGCAATAGTCATAGAATATTATTGCATCAAGAACGTGTCGAATTTTTAATATTGCAAACCTACAAGACTCTTTTGCGTCATTTTCTAGTGTATAAAATCGACTAGTTATCATGGTGGTTTGTAGAATAAATTTCGAAAATAATCCACACAAAGTTTACTATTCGGGAGAATTGATACGCGGTAAAGATCGCCTGAAATTCATTTTATGTTTTTTTTTGTGTGAATATTTCGTGATATTTTTTGCAGGTACGGTGCAGTTGGTATTGCCTGAAAGAAAAAAGGTGCGCGGTGTGTATATCAAATTCAAGGGAGATGCAAATACAGAATGGTATGAAGATGTTCAAAAACAAGAAGGTACTGGCGATAATCGTAAAACTGTAACAGTTCGTGAATGGTATCGAAGCCATGAAAGTTACTTGAGTTCGAAAACCTTTTTCGCGGGAGGAAGCGATGGTGAGACATAGTAACCTTTATCAATTGAATATAATCAATCTAATCAAATTGTGATTTTTTTTCTTATTTCACAGGCAAAATATATCTGGAAGCAGGGGAATATGTTTATAATTTTGAATTGCAATTGCCCTTAGAATTGCCTTCGTCGTTTGAAGGTGAATATGGCCACATTAGATATAGCGCAAGTGTCGTTCTGATTATTCCATGGGGATTTGACGATAAATACAATCAATCATTCACCTTGATCAGAGCACTCGATTTGAATCGATATTCATCGTTGCGGGTAATTCCTTTACATTCAAACATTACACGTGATTGGAAAGAATCTATTAAACATTTTTTCTCACTGATTCACACATAGATGCCAGTTTCTGACGTCACGGATTTCACTTCTTATCCATGTTGTTGGCTGTGTTGCTTTCCATCAGATCCACTGCAGATAGTTGCACGCATACCAGTCGGCGGATATGTCGGTGGACAGACCATAAATTTGGCGCTTGAAGTGGACAACAAAAGCAATCAACGAGTTCCACAACTCAAAATGGAATTAATAAAAGTAAGCAATTGTGAGTTTAATTCTAAATGCAATTCTAGCCAAGCTTTCGGAATCTGAAATTCGGAAAGTTGAATAGATCGGAAATTGAATTCAATCCAGCTTTCTTTTGACTCTTCGTTTATTTTAGCATATCAAGTATTATGCGCAGGGTAGAACAAAGACACAAAAGTTCTGTCGAATGGGCGAAGAATCGTCACGTGGCGTTGAAGTGAATCAAAAGCGAATAATTCGTATAAATCTACGTATTCCACCGAATCCACCGAGTGACGAATCAACTTGCGGCATCATCAAAATTAGTTATTATGTTTTCGTAAGAGCATTTACTCTTTGATTCAGTATTCAACAATTAATTTTTTCCGTTTTTTCGGTACGGTTATTTCAATGGTTGTGTAGGTAACGGCCGATATGAATACTTGTTGTAGTGATCCGAAAATGCAACTTCCGATCACAATTGGTACGACACCAATACATGATTTCGCAGCGTTAGACGTATTGGATGACAGTAATCCTACTGATCCATATCCTGCTGCTCCTGTACCGTCTGCACCTGTAGTAACCGATCAACCTGGCATTCAACCATCGGCTCCTTCAATGGACGCAATGTCCAATGGAGAGAAAAGTCACGATTCTGCACCGCCTTATCCACATGATGGTGAATATATAAACAAATCTTACTTTGCAGAACAGTTTCAGCATTAATACCACAAACTTTTTTTTACTCAAGATTTGCCAACCTATGAAGAATCGACGGATGCAAAAGGCTCAACAGCAAATGATGATTTTAGACCGAGATATCCATTCTACAACCATCAAACTTCATACTCAAAACATTAGGAATATTCAATGAATTCCAATCGATGTTATTTTTCCACCAGATATTACTGTAAAATCATGCATCACAATGTTGTCAAAATCTGTTTGAAAATGATTTTAGTTATGCATTGGTAAAATGAAAATTGTCTCAATAAATTTAATTTCACTGATAGCACCCCACGTATTTTTCCAGATAGAATGATGAAATTACATTTTCACAGAATTGATTTGCGTTGGAGGAGTAAAAATTCGTTGGAATTTCTCTCTCTCTCTCTCTCTCTCTCTCTTTCTCTCAACCAAATAAAGGACCGTTTGCAACAAAATCCTAGTGATACTAAAATCCCACTCCAGGATAAATCCCTGTTCGTCTCTTTCATGTCCATCTTTATTTTTCTTATCAAATTATACAATAATCCGCACACAGAAGTACTATCCAAACAGTTGTGAGATTATGCTTAAAAGTGTCGTGCTGTGAACTCTCCAATGAGAGTATCGTATTCTATTTACGCATTTAATTTGCCTCCGTACAGCAGATATGATGCGCTGTTGTTTTTTCGTCGCTTGAAAATGTGAATATTGTACCGATCCAGAAAAAAATACATAAATGTCGATAGATTTTTTTACTCTCTTCTCTTCAATATTTATTCATTGGTATGGATGTATTCCAGTTAGTTTTTTCTTTCTTTATTCCATTGTCTTATTTGTTTTTGTACGGTTTTTTCTTCTCTCGATAACTTGTAGAGAGCCGAACTTGGGTTGTTGTTGTCGTCGTCATTGTTTTGGTTCAGTTTTTTTTTCTCTTTCGATGCTGTTGATGTGTGCAAAGTGAAGCGTAAAATTTTAAGATCCTCCTCTCTTATATAATAATCTTAATCGTTGTTCGTTTCTGTTTTAGTGGCCGTTGTTCAGCCGCATATTTCACATTTGTAGCAGTGTGTGTATGTGTTTGCTCAGTTTGGTTTGGTTGGGCCAGCTCGTGACTATGTTCTAGCAATCAGAGCGTGTTTTATGCGCGCGTATTGGTTAATCTAGGCAGCGTGCATGCTGTGGCATCCCATCACACAAACTAAATCAGACATCATAAAATTCATAAACAAATATAAATAATGAAAATGATGAAGAGAAGAAAAAAAAATTATGATTGTATATATGAAAAGAATCTGAATAATATATTCAGCTCGTTTAGTCGGAATGAATGCGATATTTGAACTCGCGTCGGAATAGATTGTGATGCGGATCATTTTTGGTCGGGTGGGATTTAATTTGGATTTCATATTGCCTGATGCGTGTATTATATGCGGGCATTATGTGTAAGATTACTTTCTTATCGTTTCATTTTCGGATGGATTGAGCGAGCGAGTGTTGGGGCCAACGAAATTATGCAAACATGTCCGACACCATTGAGCGACAGCGTTCAAATCGAAATGGACGAAGGAATGGATGGCGAAATAAAGACCATTTTGCTTTCTTGTTTGTTTTCTTTTTCGACGAAAGAAGCAAACATGAATAATTTCTTCTTCGAATGTTTGGTCCATTGCTCCCTTTTCCATCACGCACAACAACAGTGAGCAGAGAAAACACGAGCGATTCCATTTCAACACGGTACCTCATCGAATCTCGATTACGTGCGATGCAATAAATAAACGACATAACTGGTTACACCTTTAAAACCATAAATTTTTCTTTTTTCCGAATCTTACGTGTTCGAGCCGAATTGTGCATTTTTACGTGCCTCGATTTAATGTCTATTTGTAATAAAAAAAAATGCGCGTTGATTTTCGCCTATTCGTACTGGAACCATTGAGAACATTCAGATTCACACAAACTTGAATTAAACACACGCAAGCAGAGAAAAAGGGAAAAAAACTAATAAGCGAAACCCATAAAAACCATGATAATATGACACAGAGATGCTAACACGTCACACACACACATATACTTCGTTCGGATGAGGGTTTGTCTTGTTTCTACCGATTTCTTATTTATCGTATAAATTGCGTTTTAAGAAGCCATACCGATTTCACATCGAAAGAGATTCCCTCGAATTACCTTCTCGAAACTACACTCTCATGCAATTCCGTTTTCCATCTACGCATTTAAATCACTCGCTCGGTTTAAATGCTCGCATCGAAAATTGTTTGATCGCATCTGTTTGAATTTGTGGACGCTTCGGTGCCGAGCAGCCGCTCTTGAGGACTAGTTTTCAGACAGTTTTCCATTTCAGACTGTCCAGTATCAAAGGTGAATAGACTTCGATGACTTCCATAAACGACCATTTACACGTAACTAACATGACACATTATTACCACTACGAATGCAACGAAAATTTATGTGCGAACAAGTCGCATTTCAGTCATCGAGGGTCAGAGAGTCGAATGTGCAACAACTGAAAAAAGTTGTTCAAGGAAAGTGTTTAATGAGAGTCACTGCTTGATTTTAATTCCATCGCCAAAATGAAAAAAAGGTAATTCGAAAATCTCATGCGTAACGGTGATTATTTCGAAAAGGTCAGTTCATGATCTCTCTGTGTTATTTTTTTTTTTTCAATTTTCATCCGAATTTCGATCTCATTTTTATTTTCGTAATAGATCCGATAACAATAAAAAAAATCTGGTGTCGAAACGGATTGAACGATGAAAATGAATTCAAAGAAGCGAAAAAAATGCTTTTGATGAGCGAGAGAGATAGAGAAAAAAAATTGCTCGAAATTCCACACAAAGTGCCGACAGGAGATCAACGCATTATTATAAATGATATATTTTATAACGTAAATTACATAATTAATCAAAAGGTGTGGAGCTATTTCGTGTGCTAGGCTCGGCATGTTCGATTGTTTGCCGAAGTTCACACTTGTGCCGAGAGAGCGAATAAGAGATCGAGCCTCGAAATGAGAATCTCTTCCCGAAGTTGAACTGGCAGACTGTGTGGCTCGGTTTTTAATTTGTTTCTTTTTCGTCGACAACCGAGCAACCGAAGAAGACGAAGAGCAAATAGCAGAACATTTTCTGATGGATAAATAATAATGATATATAAGCGTAGATTTATTATACGGTGCGTATGGAAGATATTTGATAGATGGACAAAATGTTCTTAGTTGGCGAAATAACCAACGCGCATACGTATATGTTCAAATACCGAGAAATCCGAAGAAGCGGCCAAAACGAACGGCACAGGTAACACACAATTAATGATGATGATTACAAGAAAAGCGTGTGTTCGGACGGTAATAAGTACACAATAATAATTTAATTTAAAAAATTACTATTACGGATTACGAAGCGCGATGATTTCTTGACGCTTATGCCGTGTGTAATCAGCGCAAGCGTCAGAATGATCGAGTTGATGTGTGAGTGTATGTGTGAGTGGATCACAGGTTGAAAAATTGCTTTATCGGTTGCCGAAGATGTGGTATTCATTCTCAACCAACATGATTTTCATAAAGGCCGAACGATGATGCTGCAAAAGACACCGTTGAGAGAAGAAGAAAAAAAGTTGCCGATCGACGAGTGAACGAGAGAGGAAAAAAAATCAAAGACAGCCATGGAAGAGACCGAAGAGCGAAATTTCTCAAAAAGAATGAGAGAGAGAGTGAAGGAAATTCCATTGAAATGGTTTGATTGAAGTAAATGCGTTGTTGATATTGATAAATTAAAATTAAATTTTTCTGACCCATTCCGAAATCAAGCCACTTTCGGTTGCATTCAGTTTTCCATGAGTCGCTAGAATACGTTATACATATGGCCATTATTCAATAAGCATTAGTCTTCATCACTCTTTCATCGAAGACGGTGAAGTTTTTAATATTGTTCACACGACGGTGCATCTTTTTTCATCATGTCTGTTCAGGTGCCTAATGATCCTTCTTAGACAATTTCGTCGTTCTTTTTCTTTTCGTCAATAAACAAGTACAGAAGGTGCATATCATATCCGTTCAACTACGAAAAAAAAAGTGTTGAAATCCGACGAAATTTTATTTCTTATGATAATCGTGACTAATAAACCATGCGATTACTTATTCTCTGTGTGCGAAGGAATTTTTGTTCCAAAGCGTTGACAGGATAAATAAAATGCTAATTATGATTAATAGTTATGGTGTGAATTTTCAGTTTTTTTTTTTCACCATTGTCTGATTTGAAAATTCATGGCAGAACGATTTGATGAAAGGCGATCAAAATCGAACATATTTCAACGGGATAATGGGTGTTGGGCCAGTCAGATGAATCCTTATTTCTAATTCCATGAGAATTTGAATTTTTAACCTATGACATTGCCCAAACACAAATGTCGCAACATTCTTCAACTGTGAAATCGAGAACTGTTCTCTTCATAAAGAGAAACATTTCACAGAAAAGTCACTAGTGACACAGTCGAACACTTTGCAAGCTGAGCCATTATGCAAGTGCATTGCAAATGGTCACACAATGTCGTTGCCGAAAAACAAAATTTCAAAGAAAACGCTCCGGTAAAATATTTCCAAGAATTAGATGGTGTTTTTTTGTCATGGTGCTCTCTCTCTCTCTCTCTCTCTCTTCCTCTACCATTCGATTGTGTATTAGGTGTATTTAGCACAAGAACAACTCTACTTTTGCAGCATTCGAACTAGTAAAATAAATCAAAAACACAAAACCGAAATGCACGTAGCAATAGTATATCTGAAATGCGCGTTTAAATCGTCTTTTGTTTACAATGTAAAGCATAGAAATGTGCTGAGTTTCGAAGAATGCCGGCATGGTTAAATGTGTTGTTTTTCGTCTTTTTCTTCCATCTCATTCCTCTCGCTCTCTACCTATCGCTTTCTCTCTCTCTCTCTCATTTTCGTTCGTTCTTTTGTCTGACAGCACATGAACAATCATGAACAATGAGTACACACGTGCATATCAACAAGCAACATGGATCGATTCACTTACATCAATCCTTAAACTGACACATCTACGTTCGTTATGTTTCGCAAATTTTTCACTCTCAAGGTTTCGCATTCTATTTACTTCTTATCCTCATTTCGGTTCCATTTTTTCTCTTTCTTCGTCATCGCTAAGCATAAGCACATACTTTGTCTTGCACTTGAAGAAATGAGCATTTTTTTTACCTGTTCAATACACTTATTAACATACACAATGACAAAGAGAGCTCTTTCTCGGTCAGAGTACTGGAGTATTGTTTTCAATTCACCAAAAA